AATTACAATATAATTAGATCATTATTTTATACTCAAATTACAACAAATGAAAACTTCAAGTGTATAGTTTGTTATGTGGATTTTTTTATAATCTACAAGATAATATGTTTAGGTTATATAAAAATAATCCTTTAATGTTAAAAGGACATAAATTAATAGTAAATATTTAAAACTTCATGGTAAACACGATAAATAAATTTACACGAAAGTTGTTCTTTTCAAGATTTTAAACTTATTACAAGTTATCATTAAAACAACATATGCTAGACTGTATTCAAACTTAGGATTTCCTTAGGATAAATGGAAATTATTTAATGTAAACTAATGTTTCTCTCAGTGTACAATAACAGCCAGCAGGGCTATGTTGACGGATTGTTAAAATTAAAAACATCAAGACTGATAACTTCTTAATATTTTATATAAAAGAAGATGATTGGATAAGTAAGTTATTATTAGACTAAAATTTACATAGTTTTGCCTATTAGTTTCCTTTAATTTTGAACTTTCATCTATGTTTTGATTTATGATATCACGTATTAAATATTACACTGCTCATATAATGTATATTTATTCAGTTTGTATATTTATAAAATGGCCTTTCCTGTCTTTTATTACTTTAAAATCACAATTACCCATCGAACTCTGAATGTAAATTTAGTGAAAACACCTGCTACCTATTAAGAGCAGAAATATAATTAATGGAAAGTAATTTCTGCTAAGTCGTATAAGTATGGTGCTAATTTGTTAATGGTCGTATGTCATTTGAATAAAAGACAAACATATTCTGCTGGTTGATTAAAAAAAAACAATTTTAATTGGAAATTTTCAGCAACTTGTTCCTGATTAGATCAATATTTATGGGCTCCGGCACTGCCCATTGAATATTAATACTAAACTCGTTGACAATATCTCAAAATTTACAACCGATACAGATATAGAATTATGATATCAGTGAAAAAAAGACATAACGGAGTGAGGAATGAAACGGTGATAGATGTAAAATATAAAAAATGTCTGAAATTGAAATGTCTTAGGGTAGTGCGAAAATTTTTCAACTCAAAAATTACCGGGAAATAAAAGTGAAAAAAAAACAGATTTATTTTTTTATTTTTTTTCGACTTACATCCAGTCAAAATAAATTAATATAAAAATTTTACCAAAATGTCTATATTTTTTGAAAACATTAAAATAATGAAAAAATTAGAAAAAAATACTGAAATTTCTTGACATATACTTGATGTGTTCAGCTCTATACAACTGCCTGAAAATTCCAGCTTTTCCTGGTTTTCCAGATTGATGGTCCAAAAGCTTGTTGCACTAGAATGTAAAGCATCAGAAATGGAATCAAAAGATCTTCCTTTACGTGAATTTGAAGAATAAATGTTTGTTTTCTGAACTCGGTTTTCCATGGGTAAAAAAGTCATGTTTTTTTTTTTTGTTGTTATAGGGCACTGAAATTTTATTTCGTTTTGTTGTTTATTCATAAAAAATTCATAAAAGATTTTTCTTAATTTGAGATCTGAGGGTACTTTTTCGAAAATATTATTTTATTTTTTGTGTTTTTATTCTTCCATTTTCTATTTCTTCCAATTTTTTGCATCCGAGAAAAAACAATTCTGGTTTACTTCCCGAATTACTAAATTTCTATAAGTATTCAATCCAAATTTTTGAATAAAACTATACAGGGTGTTACAAATTAGTAGGTCAAGCAGTTAACAAAATATTCTTTGGACTAAAATAATTGAACTTTTCTTATGCCACTTTTCATTTCTTAGCCCCATTTTCAAAATACAGGATGTAAAAATTAAAATTTCAAAATGATTTGTATTGACAACTCCGGTGATTGTATTTATTTGAAATTTAGCACATATTTTGATCTTAAATAGGCAAACTTTTTGTGTATCCAAAAAAGTTACAATATCTAATGAGGCCCCAAATAAAAATCTTACGAGAGTGAAAAAAAAAATAGAATAAAACGCCGCTTTTTCTAAAAAAAATATTCGGAAAGCATAGGTATACTCAAAAAAATAGGAGGTCCACAACCCCCTGTCCTCCGTTCGCACTTTGACATTTTAAACCTAAATTTCAAATAAATATCTCTACAATCACCGGAGTTATCAAAAAAAATCATTTTTTAAAATCCCATAATTTTAATTCAAAAGAATATGTAGTTAATGAGTTGACTTACTAATTTGTAACCCTCTGTATATTGATCCATAAGCATAAGATCAAAACATTGTAAGTTATCCTTAATGAAATATATAGTGATCAGATCACAAAAATCAGAAGTGGGATATTCCCAGTTCTTTAAAAATCTCTTGAAAGACGATATTTCTGCATCGTATCTCGCCTCAGCGAATCCTAAACATGTTAATAATAATACAAAACCAAAATATACGCCTTTGTATGTGTATAGCAACCAATCCGTTAGAAAGTCTCCCGTGGCACTTTTCCTCTTTGCTCGTGGAATATCAATACTCTCTTGTAAAGTAAATCCCTGCTTCTCCGAACCAAGACGTTTCTATTAGGGATATTTATAAAGCCAGAGAGATACAAATGTGGCCAGTGCACGGCCCATAGCCACCTAATTGCCCCCATATTGCAATATCCTGCCAGAGAGACGTTATAAAAAGCCCATTATGCGAACTGTCAGAAGCCCTGATCCGGCCTGCAGACTTGAATGGACTGTGTCGCGGCAGCAGCTCATCCCACACTAATTAAAATGTTAATAACATACAATTAGGCCTTAATCGTACCAACTTGGTCCGGGCGAAACGTGAGTTCATTAATAATTTGTCATAATCACCGTTCTGCGGAGAAATTTGAGATTGCCGAAAATTTGGTACAGATTTTCTAAAGGAAAACCTCAGGATTGGCATCAGTGTAGATGTTATTGTTGCCAGATGAAAGAAATAGGGTGAAAATGTAAAATAAAACAATGTGTTCTCGAGTTGATACGGCGAGAAACAACTACTCTTCGAACTAAAGCTTCGACTAGCTTTGAATTGTACCCGTAATATCTAGTAAAGAGCTAGAGTCATTCCTCAGTTGAACCCACCAGGCATGTACCAGTTTCGAACTTACTTTTTTCATCAGTATGCCATAACAATAGGCTCGATATCGGTGTATGTCTGGTAGGTTCGGCTGACGAATGATCTCAGTTTTTTTCTAAATGTTGAGAGTCTAATTCAATACTGGTCGGAGTATTAGTTCGCAGAGAAGTTATTTCCCGCAATATCATCGGTTTCAAAATTATTTTGCTTAGTGGAGATATGGGTCTCGCTATCATAATTGTTACAATCATTTCACCTCATTTCATCAATTCTCTCATACATGTTAAAGTCTAGTGTGAATTGATGACTTTTAATGTACAAAGTACGTCCTTAAAATTTAAATATGTAAATATTTACATGAACATAAAATAAAACTAATAAAATAAAACAAACAAAATATATGTTACAGTAAATACAAACAGAACAAACTAAACATGCTCAAGCTAATTAAGCTACCATATATACCATTTCCATTATGAATTTTCTTGTTCTTTGATTTGATTTGATTTGTCGTACTGGTCAAACTCCAGGAACAAGTTCCTAAGTGGATAAGATCTATTTTGCAAAAAAAAAAAAACAAAATGATTGAAGTTGTGACAGTTGTAGAAATAATTGAAGAAATCTGATAAACGCAAAGAATAGTGCGGGCCTAAGTTAGATACCTTGAAGAATATCTGTTTTAGTATCACTCCGTTTCTTAGACCGAACAAAATTAATACAAATACACTTAAGTACAACATATTTTTTGAAATGTAAATACTGGAGGTAAACTTTTGTTGTATTTTTTTTAAATTTGCAATCAAATCAAGCAAACTATGTTACCTTAATGCAACTGATTTAATTTTGTGCAGTCTACCTATGCTTTTGACATATCTGTTTTTAATACCAATTAATAGTTTAATAATACACTACAAATGCTTGATTAATAATGTTATTAATATTGGACGAAGCTATTAAAGCCTCATATTTATTTATATTCATTTATATATTCTTTCAGGTATTCCAAGTCTAACAACGCAAACGAATGTAATATTATAATGAATGGCCAATAAAAATTTTAATAGCCAGTTTGCGGTATAATTCTAATTTTATATATACTTTTTTTGTCCGTGGTTACATAGTGGCTTGATAAATTATTTAATTATGGTAACTTAATTGTGTATTCAACCCGATGATTATTTAAATTTCAGTGCTCCAATATATAATAATAATTAATATATACCTTGTAAATTATTATGTACATTTATGAATATGTTAACAAGATAGACATTTTGTATGAAGTTACTTATTTGTGGCACAGTTTCAATTTTTTTCTTATTTATTTGCGTATTTTGTCACTTGCGGGGAAAATGAAAAAAGTAATGAAATAAACTTGAATTTTTTCATTATTCTGTTATATACTTGCTTTTTTCTTTTATAAAGCAACAAGGATCTACGATATTGTAGATGTAATTTAACTTTTTTTGATTACATTTTTTTCTTCATTTGAACAAATACCGAATTTTTAAACAGAAACTATTTTTCATAAAATGAAATATTAGAAAGTTTTCCACCTTTTTGATTCCATGCGTGGACACACTGTATAGTGATGTGTATTTTTTATTTGTCTGCTATTTTCAGTGTGATTTTTAGTTGGGCAAACCTATTTTCGTAAAAATAGTCCTTGACTAATCCTTTTTGGTGTAAGGGTTTATTTCATCATTTTTAAATTTTTTTTCATAGCTAGCAAATACCCAAAAAAAGACAGTATGAGGGAGAGATAAAATAAAACATTGTCTCGTTGATTTTATTTTAGTTGTTTTGATGATTAAGGTTCAACAACTTCTTGATGGTCAAAAAAAAAGTCTAGATATTGACAAAATAATTTCACAACCTTTTTCTTAATTCTGATATTAGTTGTTTCTGAGCTGTCTCTGTCGTTTTTTTACGATGGTCTTTTCTTTCCAGTGGATTCCAACGGGGAGCCCCCTAAATTAAAGTGTAACCTGAGGAAGCACAAACCAAATAGGAAGCCCAGGACTCCGTTCACCACTCAGCAACTCCTAGCTTTAGAAAAGAAGTTCAGGGACAAGCAGTACCTTAGCATAGCAGAGAGGGCGGAATTTTCCAGTTCATTGCGACTGACAGAAACACAGGTAGTTGTCAAGATGAAAAAATTTAATCATATCGCCTAGGTAATACTCAGATTGAAATTACAAAAGTCAACTTTAACGAAAAATCAACATGAATAGACGATTCACACATATTTAAAAATTCTTGGTTACAATTTGTGAATCCCTGGATTTTAACTAAAACTTATTTTGGCTATAATATTTTAACCATTTATGGTAACTAATTAACTTTTGGTATACACCATCGACAACCAACAATCTTTTGAAAAAAGTTATAGGAAAAAATACCATGTGGTTCACCCTATAGATATTTTTTTTCGAATGTTTCATACTGAGTGAAAATACGTACATAATCCAGTGACAAAACGAAGCTTTTTTATTTTTATGTTAACTTTTCTAACTTTTGAAAGAAAGAATGAAATTGTAGTAACATATATTTTTTTAACACCTATTCAGTATCTACTGTTTTATTAATGCGAAGAGTTAAAGTTAATATTTTCTTATTTAAATTAATCGTACAATGACTTACTTCTACAGTTTTACAGAAAAAAAAAAACATAGGTGCTAATGAAAATAGCTTTTTATAGTTTTTTTAATCGATTTGGTATTTTTGCCACTATTGAAAGAAAAGAGGAATAAATAACCCCTCATCCCAAATGGATCAGTCGTTTTTATTTGGAAAAACTTCCATTGTATATTTTTTCTATTATTTCAAATAGCACATTGCAAGTATGTGAACTAATGACAAAAAATCATCGGTATATATTTCTCTGAGAGATGAATAAGGTCGATCAAGTTACGAAAAAATGCAAAATTTAATGATCAATAACTTTGCAGGAGAGAAATTCAACCCATCTTTTTAGTTTTGAAGTCATCGAAGTAAACGAAAATATTGATTTCCGTTTTTAATTTTTTAATCGTAAACAGAAAGATTAATTTTTTTAATTGAAAATTATTAAGACAAACCTGCACTAGCCGTCGCACCTATTGAGATGGAGAGTTACAGCTTCTGCTTTGGATTTTTGCATTTTTGAACTCAATATTTTTTTTAATTTTTCGTTCAAGATGTGTCAAATTTTTCTTCATGTTTCTTAAAATAACCGAGATTTCAATAGTGCGACTCGTGAAATGAGCACCCTGTATATATGATTAAAAAACCATAACCGAAATAAATCACCTCGTATATCCACAAATTTTGATCCAAAACTTCCTTAAATCATTTAGGCCCGGGTAGACCTACTTTGCTGTTATACAGGGTGTCTCAAAAAATCGAACCCAGCGACAACTTTTCAGGATTGGGTCCTATAAAAATATTCAGATATAATTGAAGGAAACCAATATGTTGGTGACCTTCGATTTGACATTGACCTTAAGTTCTCAACTCAAACCAAGGCCAACGTGTAAATAATAAATGGAACATTGAGCACAAAAATAAATATAATAAATAAAAATAAATATAAAAGTAATAAGACGTATTCAACTAAATGTATTAATAAACTTGCGAAAAGTTAACCAAATATAAATGGGGCAAATATTAGCAGATACTCATGCCAATCTTTTTTTTACGAAAGCATAGAGCAATACGCAGCAGAATTTGCTTTAAATGTTGATGCTGCTGTTCGTATATTCAGGCAGATTCGTTTCCTTTAACTTATTTCTATTTACCTTCTCCTGAGAGAATAAAATTCACTTGCTTCGAATGCATCGATATGCACCATCTACGTGATACGACATTTGTTTACGTTTGACAAATATGCATATTCCGGTAAACCTGCATACATGTTGCGTTCTCGATCATTCGGTCGTTCCCATCAAACTGCATTTGTTTAAATTTGGCAAATACTTAGTAAGTAACTGCATCATCTGGAGAGCTTAATGTTCTGATGATGATACCTTTCTTATTATTAGAGGTACACCCTTCAAACCTTATATCACTGTAATCTTGAAAAAGTGTTCCATTAAAAAAAAATCATAACTTTTGAGAACATCTTTTTCAAAATTCAGTATCATCACAAAATACTTTTAATTTATATCTACAACTTTTCCATCTCACTTATAACTAACAATCTGTACATTTATCATGAGACGCCCAGTACACAATTTTTTAAACAAACCGCCGAACAATCTTTTTCTTTTCCAGGTGAAGATCTGGTTCCAGAACCGCCGTGCCAAAGCCAAGCGGCTGCAGGAGGCCGAGCTGGAGAAGCTGAAGATGGCCTCTCTGTCGCGCCACCCCCACGCGCTCTACCCTCACCCCGCATTGCAGGGCTATTTCGCCCCCGGCGCGCATCCTCTGGCTTCGCTGCTGGGCGCGCGGCCCCCCATGGGTCCCCTCGGGCTGTTGCCCCAGCCGCCCCCGCCCCCTCACCTCGCCTCCCCGCAGGGGGGCGGCAGCATACGGTCTTCCAGCCCGCACATGTCCTAGGCGGGGGTGGGAAGCGAGCACCGTCGATTGGGCGAGAGTGAGTGTTCCGTTTAGATGCAATACACTGTTGATATCCACGTGCGTAGGTTTTTGTATATACAGGGTGATTCGAATCGTAAACTCTCATAAATTATGCCAAAATTCAATTTGCATAGTGATTTCAAAATACATATTAATATACAGGGTGCTTACAAAGTATATTTGAAGAGTGTGCGAAAATTAGATTGGCAGAATTTTTTTTGTGCAAATAGAATACTTCTGTTTAATACCTACCGACTTGCCACACGGATACGATAAAAAGTTTTCAGGAATCGTAGGAATTGTGAATGCCTCCTGTGTATAACAGAAAAATAATATTTGAAATAGGCAAAATATTTGTAATATCCTAAATTAAAAGATATTTTTTATATTTTTTTTATTAGTATTCATGATTTTAAACAAATCAAGGGTTCGTATTATCTCCCTCACACATAGTCCGTACAACATTTGTTTAAATAGAATTCCAAGAAGACCCCTGCGACGCCCGAGGTAGAAAGATATTGGCGGCCCCGGCGTGGCGTTCATCGTAGAAGCTTGCAGTGCATAATGTGTTTTGCAGTTACTTGTGCATTTTCAGTGTAATTTCTTATTAAAATAAACCAATGGATGTGAAAAAGAAAAGAAGAGAATTTAATTTCCAGTCGAAGAATATCGAGTTTAACTTGTTTAACTAAAATTTGAAGGCACGCCCCTGCTACGGTAAATTGTTACAGTAGTTCCGACAACAGAACTTTATTGGCTTATTATTTTCTTGGAATTGTATCTCAACAAATTTGTAGGGACTGTAACTAAAGTTATTGTTGCGTTTGTAAATACGTAAAATATTAATATTTGAATTGAAGTTCACTATTTGAGGGTGTATTTTTTCTGAAAACTAATAAAAAGTATATCATTTTCACAGATATTTTTCAAAAACTGAAAAAGAACGGAAAAAATAAAGAGGTTAATAATGAAATAACAGTAATAGATTCTGCCTAAAAACCAATCCTTAGAATGATGTGAGAGATGAATAATAGTGCTTAAATTAATGACCAGACATGCTAAGTCCAGATTTAAAATATGAATAATATATCTCGAAACATTTTAACTGAAAAAACTTGATATCTACCATCCCCTTTTAAATGAGCATGTCTTCCTTATTTTTTAGAAAAATTTTATATAAAAATGCCCATGTTTTTTGATTTATCATTATTCTTTCGGAAAAAGTCATGGACGTACTTTTTTCCAAAAAAAGGAGCCCTATCTCGGCACGCCACTGCCTAAAGTGATGGAATTAAAATTCTACCAACAAAAGTACCCGTTTATAAGTTGTATCAATTGCAATCTTTGCTTATAGATTCCTAAGATATAACATAACACATATACACTTTTTCCAGTATTTTAACTCATCCTTAAATAAGTTTGTAAATTAAAATAGGGTTCACTGCATTCATATATATTTTGCACCTGACCTAACCTTAACCTTTGCACATTAATTTTTAGAGATAGAAAAACGGATTAAATATAAAAGTTATACGAATTATTTCGTATCAAATCATACAAATTGACATCGCAAAAGTATATTTTTTATACATGTATGTTTTAATATATTATTTAGAACACATGTTTAAAATTTCAGTGATATAGAGTTTGATGGATGTATCTCTAATAATAAAAGAGATATTGATTTATTTTAGTTATATCTAGTTTACCACAAGAAAAAACCTTCAATCACTGTTGTCGCAAAAAGGTGTTCTGCTTAAATACTCAAAAATTTAGTGTACCATTTAAAAAAATTAAAGTTGGTTCATTTCGACATATTTGCAGAGTCCATTTGTACAATCTGATGTAAATTGTGGTGCTTCATAAACATTCGTACAATTTTTGTATATAACAATTTTTTCCTGTTTCCAAAAATAACAGCTGCAGGTAAGGTGTAAAAAATAGAGATACGATACGACGTATCAAAATGTAACATCCTGTATATTTTTATATATTTATTTGTAACAATTACAGTGATATAAAAATTGTTCGGTCTGTCTCTTATGGCAATAGACATATAAGCTAAGAGTCATTATCGATGTAGTATGTTTCCCTTAAATGTTTTCTATTCAAATACGTCAAAATGTATAATGTGGTTTTACACATTTGCGATGTTAATTTTTTTCTTCAAGCATAACAGCTGTATGTATAGTGACTAAATATAAAGAAACACACTGTATTCTTATTTGCAATAAGGAATCAATTCCTGTAATTTCATAATTTAAAGCGCAGTCACCCTGTATATTGTCGATTAAGGTAATATACAAACAAAATAATGGTCTAGTCTGAATTTGAGTTCTTTAGAACAATTAATTCTAAAAACCTTGTGTGTAGCAGGAAAATTGAATAATATTGATAAACTATGAACTAAACTTTGAATGACTTTTTAAAATTTTGCCACTCAAGGTTTTTATCTGCTGCAGGTTTTTAGTTTTTGGATATCAACACCACTCGATTTGAACATTGTGATTAATTTTGTAATTCTGTATATGTATACCTACTATTTATTTTCTACGACTTGTTAAATAAAGGTAACTGTTATGTCCTATGTGAACGTGCCAAATTCAGCTACAGTCCCCTAGAGATTGTAATTAGAGAAAAATAAAAAGTCAGAGTTGTTTTCGTCGGCAGAGCTCTTTCATGATAATTTTATGGTCCCGGTTATCTTTTAAGGGAGATTAAATTGCTTATTTTTTAACAAATAACCGAGATAGGGAATGACCTCATAATAATACGCTATCATTTGTGGTTCTGATCTTTACACCCATAATAATTAATATTTAACACTCGGTGGAGAAGAAATAAATTGAATCACATTATTTACTTATTATTTATTAACAAACACCATATCAATTATTTTTAATTTTCCGTGATGGATAATTTTTATCGGCGACAGTCGCGGATGGACTGGCGATAATTGTTACAAATTGTAGACGCTCCTTTTCACGTCTTGTCCACAACAGCAGTTTCCTGGTAAGCTATCGGGAATGCTCCGAATTATACGAGCAATATACTCGTTATTTTATTATTACTAGTCAATAACTACATTGTGCAAGGATTATAATCGTTTCGTGGAACGACGACATACATTGTGATGCCATGCTGCTAATATTGCTGTTTTGCTATTGCCTTGTTGAACCTATTTTCAATGTGAGTACTCGAATACTAAGTCAAAGAATAGTATCGAGTTCTTACTGTCAAAATGTTGATAATAACAAAACTATTAAGTAAAGTCAATAATCAAACATATTGTCCTAATTAGTAAAATGAAGGAATTTCATTGCTAAACCCTCAAATGTTGTAAACGAACAGGAGATATTGTCGTATAGATTTGTAGCATATGTGGTTTTATCAAAAACTTAAATTTCAGCGGAATCGAGTTTTGTCAGTATAATAATGACCTGATTGATGAAAAATTAATTAAAACATGACTTTTGATTAGTTATAACGTAATGAGTCAGTCGCGTTTCAACCGCATGTGGTTTTACTGTGAGAAAACTTTAAGTAGACTTTAGTTTTGTTTATATAGTGACATGATTGGACCAAAATTAATTAAAATATAACTACCGATTGGTTGAAATGTAATAGGTGAAGTAAACATAATCTATTTTGAACTTTTGTTTATGCTGGTAAAATCACAAGCGTAATTCGAAAAAAAAATAGGAAACACCATTGTCTCAAATGATATTCGACAAGAATAATCATGTTTAGTTTAATATTTAAAAATTGAATTCAGGGCAAAAGATAATATTTTTTTCATCGATAAAACCACATGTGGTTTTATCAGTGACAAAACTTTAATAGACTCGAATTTTATCAGTATTAGTCACAAACTAATTAAAACATGAAAAATTAATTGCTTTTATTTAATTTTTGTTTATGCTGATAAAACCACAACCGTAATTAAAAACCTTTTTTTATGACAAGAATAATATTCAACAAGAATAATCACTAAAAGTCATGTTTAGTTTAATATTTCAAAATTCAATTCAGTGCAAAATATTTTTGGTTTATTCATCGATAGAACCACATGTGGTGTTTTCAGCGACAAAATTTCAGTAGACTTTTTTAATTTTTGTTTTTGCTGGTAAAATTGCAATCTAAAAAATATTTTGCTTTGATAAGAATTATATTTCACAAGAATCATTAGGTACTCTCATGTTTAGTTTAATATTTCAAAATTTAAATCAGTTACCTAGCAGCAGACGATTTTTTTCTTACCAATAAAGCCACATGTGGTTTTATCAGTAATGAAATTTCAGTAGACTTGAGATTTATCAGTATAGTAATGACGTGCTAAAAAATTATTAAACCATGACATTTGATTACTTAAACAACAATGAGTTAAATAGTCTCGGTTAAACCACATGTGGTTTTACAGCGATAGAAGTTTCAGTAAACTCAACTTTTGTTACTGACGTGGTTGCTCCAAAATAAATAAAAAATGATTATGTTGTGAGTAAAATAATCTTTTTTTTAATCTTTGTTTACACTGGTAAAATCACAAGCCTAAAAAAGAAATGTTGACAAGACTTGTTCCGAACGATACTTGACAATCTTAGTCACGTCATGCTTAGTTCAATATATTAAAATTCAATTTAGTTCAGGCGAATTTTTGTAACCGATAAAACTATATGTGGTTTTATTAGTGATTAAACTTCAGCAGACTCGAGCACTGTCGGTATAATAACAACGTGATTATTCAAAAATTAATCAAGATTTGATACTTGATTGATTAAAACGCAATGAATGAAATAGTCGCGGTAAAACCACATTTGATTTTATGACGATAAAAATTACAGCAGCTCATTTTCTGTGAATTTTTATATCTACGTTACATTGAACTAGTTGCAATGTAATGTTTACGTCTAGATCTAGATCTAGATCTAGTCTAATTTTTTAAAATTCAGTTAGCAGCATGTGGTTTTATCACTGATAAA